TGGATGACTCTATGTAAACTTTTGGTTACATACTTCTATGTCAGTGCTTCAACTGTGGTTTATAGAATACGTGGATGACTCTATGACTTAATGTCATAAAGTATTCTGAATTAATGAAGAAGAACGAGGTGGTACTTACCCGAGCTAGAGGTAATGTCGACAATCAACCTTTTGCCGTTTGGTCATTCACATTTTCCATTCTCAGAAACAGGGAAAACAAGAACTGTTTGGCCTAGTAATCAGCTTGAAGTTAATGTCAAAGGTGCTAGTCATGAACACTCGGTGCTTGCAAGTTCTGATACTAGAGTTTCTTTTTATCTAGAAATAATCAACACTATGCCATCTGGAGACGGAAGTAGATTTCTTTTGATGTTTGAACTTATATGTAAGATTCTCTCGCGGTATATCTCTATAGTCGATCGAGAAAGTTGTCTAAAGTGGCATCATTCATCATATCATGACATGAAATATCATGTGTAAAGAGATTTAAGTCATCAAAGCGAGGCAAGTCTCTTTATGATTTAATTTTGAAAGAAAATTTGATTATCAGTTATAGAGTCGATGAATCGGCATTTTTGCCCTCCAATAGGAGGGGAATTCACATATGTTAACTAACAGGCTCATTTCATAGGATTATTCATTTTCAGACCACATGCAACTAATATTCATTATTGATCTGGTGGTGAATTATGATAATTGAAGCCCACATAAAGTAATCAAAAAACGCTTAGCTAAGCAAAAGAGAATAGTTTGCAGCTAACTCCTACTGCCATCAGTAACTGCTCCGATATCGGACTGTTTTTAATGCGGAAATGGTCTGTGCAAATGCTTTTTGGACAAGGAGTGTAACCTTAACGTTGGTATTTAACGGAGCAAAGGCTTTATTTTACTTTGACCTTTGAACATATATATTTGTCTTAAATTGTTTTATATTCTCCCCATCTTATAGGGATCCTATGAATATTATTTTATCTCCACAACAAGGAAGTTAGCACACTCAAAACACATAGTCTACCGACTGATCAATCTGTTACTTTCCTCCTAAAAATTCTGACAAGCGTTCTTGACCTATATATCAGTAATATCACTTATCCTACACTTTACTCTGCATCACAGTTTGTCTACATTTATTATAGGTTTTGGCAGACAGCTTTGATATTATGGTGGCTTCAATCATGTATAAACGAATATTATCATAAAATTTCATCTCAAGTTTTAACTAAGATTTGATAAGGTTTGGTAAAATAATCACAGCGGAATATCACAACGAATACACTGCTCAAGTGATTGGAGTAATCCGAATTCAGCGTTATATCGTATGCGGACTACAACGACATATTACTTATCTAGGATTAATAATCTCGTTTAATTTAAGCACGAATGTGAAATATCTGATAACAATCTGTGACTCGACTTTAGCTGGAAGTGTCCATAAAGCGACTTGAACTTCTTGTCGAAGCTGTAGAAGAGCAATTGACTCCAGATGTGGCTTTCAACCACGAATCATTCCTTGATTATACACAGCTGTTTTTGAATCTATCCGTTTATATGTGGATGTCTTTTGGTAGCAAGTATCTGAAAAAGCTAGTTGCCTAAGGCTGATTAGCAAGGTAAGAAGAGTGATCGTATGATGATCGCTAAGTATATTGAAATAGAAGTAGTATCCTTTTATTTTAAAGTGGAAATTACTTCTTTCCCACTGGATACTTGAGATTTCTACCTTTAAAGTTATTCTTTAGGTCTGAAGTATGAACGATATCTCGTCTGTACTATTACAACAGACCACTATTTGAGCTTAAGTGAGCTTTGGTGCCAAACCAACCTAACAATCGTATATACATTAAGCCGTATATATATAGAACAGTTCATCTAGTTCGTTTAGTTTATTAAAAACAGAGTTATGATATCAATAACATTAATAGCAATAATATTGCTTAATGATGTGTAATCAAAATTTACATGTAGATTAGATATATGATATATGTAGCATAGTATATTTCACATAATATTTTTATTTGTTTTTGCCTTAACTATTTTTAGAAAATTTTCGTTTGCATTTAAATATTTCCTCATTGTTCGAAATCAAGTGCAGTAAATAGATTTGCATCAAGTGCACACTCCAAACATACAGCATAGTCAATCTGCGGATGGCAGTAACAATAGCACTGCAACTTCAAGAACCAAAGGAGAGCTCCTTTATTGTTGTATATCAGTAATACACAACCATGCGAAGCAATCAATGTAGACGCACTAAGACATTTTGCACCATTGTTCGTTGCGAATGACATGCCACACTCTTGAAATATTGCATGTCAGGCATGTATCAGGCAGGCAAGAATGCAGCCTGGTGCATTCGCAGAAACAATGTCGTCGATGCAGCAACAAATTTTAAAGTCTAAATTACTTTATTACAGCTTTTTATTTATTTTTTTATTATTGTCGTGAAATTTAAACAAATGTGAGTTTGAATGCGGTTTAGTGATAAGCTTTTAAACTTAGTCGATCCGATCACACTAGTGAATAAAATGCATGTACTTTCTGCATTAGTTGAAAGGAACCAACAGAATAAAAGAACGATGCTATCAAAGATGCCAAGGGTGACCTACATGCAGAATTATTCAAGGATGGAATGTCAAACGTTGAAGCCATATGCCAACTCACTGATTGGGCTTTAACAGTAAGACTTTCTATTTCGTCGATCCAACATTGACTTGACATTTACACTCCGATGAGTCAATTTTATAGTAGCTTTCGATAACCCAATATGGGATGGTGTCCACGCTGCAGTATTCGGGTTCGGTATTCCTTCAAAACTAATAAGCCTCTACAGAATGGCATTAAGCCGTATCTGTAGTTTGTAGAGCTTTTCCCACCGACAAGACTTGCGCTTTTAGGTTTTTCATCTTACCTATACATCTGAGATTGTTCAGGAACAAAACTCATCCCTATATTTTTGGTTCTTTATGACTTCACAACGACTTCTGGATTTAAATAAACCTTGAACTGTATAAACTTTATTGTGAAAATTATATTGCTCTGCGAATTAACATCCCGCAGCTTCGTTGGTTTGGTTGTGTTGTAAGGATGAATAAAGATTACTTTACCGGAAAATATTTTTGAAACGGCAGATTCAACTAGAGGGGGCGCTACCTCCACTGAAAAAAAAATGCGCAATAATATGTTATTATTGCCAATAGAAGAAAAAAAAAAAGAAAAGCGATAAGGTGTTTGTTGATAATAAACACTTTATAACTTTCGTATAATGTAAAGCATTAATCCTTATGGCGCTAATACGGATTAACTAAACACTGACAAGTAGTTGTCAAGTATTTGCCAGAAACAAATTTATTAGTTTCAATTTTAAATATCTAGAGTGTTTATTATGAAAAAAAAAGAATCTTACAATAATATAACTATAATTTTGTTTTTTGTTTTTTTAAAATAATCAGAATACAAAAAAAAATAGATAGGATAGTGTATGTAACGGCATTGTTGTGTTTTTTTCTTGTATAAAATTTAATATGCAAGGTAACGAAACTAACATAAGTGTCGAGCTTCAATTAAAATACATTAAACATTTTAACAAAGAGGATGTGCTGCAGATCCTTCCCCGGTAGTCCTAACTGAAATAATAAAGAAAGAATTTTGTGCTAGAATTGATAGCCTCGAGTCAGCAGCCGCAATTCAGAGCTTCGCTCGCTTTAATTGCAAGCGAGCAACGTAAAAATTCTAAATACAGGTTGCGACGCGGTACGAAGTGAAGTGTTACGACAGAAGGATTGCGATACGGATGCGTTAAATAACTGGGGATGTTTTATTGTAAACTGTTTGCTTTCTGGTCTTTTATGGAGCTTTTGTGTTCGCTTAATTCATTTGACGAACTGAGATTGACTTTACAGTTTTACTTCATTTCCGAGAATTGCGGTTCATTAAATACTTCCGAAATCGCAGATTTTAAGTTTTTTTGCAAATAACTCAAACGTTTCCAAGTCATTGAAGCACTAGTTGAGGAAAATTTTGAAATGCAAAAAAAAATGCAAACGGATATAGCCCAAAAGCTGCTTATGGCAAATCCTTTTCCTTTTGCGCTATTTGTTCACTTTTTCTGTATTTAAAGGCCTTTTAAGTGCTTCTTCTTTTACAAATAGCATGTGTCTATGTCCTTGAAGCAGAATTTTTTATTTTATTTTTTTTTCATTTTTTCTAAAAAGTTGTTATAAACTTGTTTCTTCGGTTTGAGTGATTAAAAACTATTTTTATATTTTCCATTTAACTCAGATAGACATTCAGCCTTTTACCTTTTGAGTATTTTGCAAAATTATGAAGAGGTTACATTAATTTTAAAAATTATGGATTTCTAAACAGAAGTATGTAAGTAAATGTGAGGGTGAGAGGAAAGCCAACAGTGACAATTTGTCAAAGAAATATATTAAATACTACCGTCGAGTAATAAGTATAAGCCAAACTGAGATGCTCAAATGAAGAAATTCCTACTCTTAATAATATGTTAATTATATCTTGTGACTTTTTAGGACTTTTAATATTTATTATGGATTAATTTCAGTTTAACTTTATATTGAGTTTTTTTAAAAGACGACAGACGATAGAAAAATAGTTCGGTTCTATTAAAAATATTGTGTTTTCTAGTGGAATTTTTTTAACTATTATTTTTGGGGAATTTGCTTGGTAGCTTTAACTCGTTCTAAGATCATTATTTTTTTTATTTTCATTTGGCCTTAAAAAATCTGCATTTGACTATAAAAAACTGTATATTAACAACTTTGATTGAGTTTTTATTATCCAATTTCGTTTTCTAATATTTTGTATTTAATATTTTTTGCATGTATTCAATAATTCGTAATTTGCTATATGTATACATTATTTTTATCTATGCAAATTATTTTTTTCGCATTTGCTATATATCTATTGTTCTATTGCGTATTTGTATTTGTGTTTTCGACTTTCGCATGCAAATAATATTCATATTTGCTTATACGTACCAAATTTAGGCGTTGTTGTTTCGGGTCCCATGCTAAAGCTATTAACTGAAAAGAAATTATCGTCGTCGCATCGTACGCAATTCGGTCGTAGCAAGACCGTGTAAAACAAAACACACCATACGAGCGTAGAGAAACGTAAAGGCAATGGCAACGACAGCATAAACGGCAACGGCAACGCCGACGACGATGGCGACGACGACGACGACGACAGCAACGTCAAGCAGCGGCGTCGCATGAAATTGATATTCTTACAGCAAGAAACTGTTGCCGGCATTAACGATTGTTGGACACGCTTAATCTTAGATGCGACAATGTGGATGCTGTCAATTAAAGGGGCAACTGACAACAACGACGACGACGCCGACGACGACGACGACAGTGACATGTTTCTACCACTTACAGCTACACCGTTATTACCTAAATTGGCGAATCTGATGGCAGCATTAGCTTTTGCGTTTGCATCAAAGTTAATTGTAGCGTCAATGTCAGCATCGGCAACTATGTCAGTATTGGCAGCCATTTTAGACAGAACAAAGGCATTGCTATGTTGTTGTTTTTCTTGTTTGTCTCGTTTTTGTTGTTTTTGTTGTTGCATATGGAAATTGTCGTATATGCTTTTTTGATTTTTAACGTTTGTACTGTCGAAAAATATTTCATTAATTTCAATATTTTTATTGTTTTCACCGTCACCGTCACCGCCACTGTCACTATTACTATTACTACTATTGTTATTAGTGTTGTTGTTATGTTTTTTATTTAATTCCTCAATTTCTGCACTCAGCGTTGCGTGCTCTTGTACATTTTCAAAAATATGTTGCGGTGTTGTTGTAATTTTATTTTCGACTGACAATTGTTGTTGTTGCTGTTTTTGCTGTTTTTGTGCACAAAGCAAGTAATTTTTTTGATTGCTTTTATTGCTCTGTTTGTTCTTACTCTTGTTGTTATAATTATACTTGTTATTGTTGTTGCGACTTACACCAAATTTCACCACACTAGTAATGTTGCAGTGTGAGTTTTCATTACATCGCTTGTCGCGATATTTCTTAACACCAAAGGAGCTTCCAATGGCGGGAGCTCCGTGGTGGGGCTCCACTAAAGCCCCATCTAATCTCATATTCTCTCGTCGTCGTGTTCCTCATCCATGCTGTTGGATTTTTATGCTTATATTCGTGTTGTTATTATTCGTGCTTTTTTTGTGTTTCTTTTGCTTAGATTTTGTTGACTTTTGTTCCCGGTCCGCAGTTTGTTGATTTTCGAACGAAAAATCGTGGCGCTGAAAAGAGGAAAAACAAAAAACCAGGTTAATACGCAGGTATATGATATGTACAGGCAAGTATATAATATTCAATTAGGCAGCTAAACGTGCATTAAATTGGCTGAGTAGTGCAGGCAGCGACACTTGACTTTTTCTCGTGCTCAGAAGGTACTACAGGGATGAGTTCGGGAGAGCTGAAAGTGTCGTCGTTTGTGGTTGCAATTTGTTGCGTTGTTGAGCTTATTGCCACTTTAGGTACCTTGCCTAGTTTAGCATAACAAATGTCGTTTCCCCTATTAACAAAAAGGATGTGGTGCCATTTTCTGAATTTATGTTTTTTTTTATATTTCCTAAGCCCACTTATTGCTCCCGTGCAAACGTTGGTTAGATGGTCGGAGCTTATGAGTTTGTTGTGGAAAGTCGGTTTATCTTGGCAATTTGTGCACGCGGAAATTGAGGTGTTTTTTAAGGGTAAACTGCCAGTTTGGAGGGTGAAGTGAGTGAGTACCTAGCAACGCATATCCGCACAATTTTGGGCTTGAAACAATAACTACCAAAGTCAGAACTTATTATAAAATTAACAATTGTGTACAACATAAAGCCGTAAAACCGATCCTACTTGGAGGAAGTGGAGGGAGATGTCTGGTAGGTTTATTAAATTCTTTGCAACTTATTAAATTTGTAACATTTTATAAAAGCAAATTTTTATGTACAGGATTTCCAACGTTACTGGAAAAATAAACGTATAAATAATTTTAGAAAGGTTCTACCTTCTTTGGTGGAAATAATTCCGAAATTTATAATTTCATGAAGTCAATTAAGTTTTATAGAGACTATTTTTAAATGATGTTTTGAATTATCAAAAATCTTTTACATTTCGTCATACATTAGAACGGAAGAAAATTTTGCCAATGCAGCGCCATCTGTTATTTTCAATAAGCGTATGGCAATTGACATTAACACAAAAAATTTTTCATAACTTTTAATATGAAAAATGTTTACATAGAGTTTTTTTAGAGAATTTCGCAATGTAAAGACACCTTTATTTTATTTTATGGAATTTTTTGCTTCTTTATGTCTTCTCATACCTGTCTTGCCTGGTAATTTCAATTCTTGTTCTCCTTTTTACTCTTACATGTTTTATCAATTAAATTTTAATTTAATGTTTGTTATTTCTTATATTTATGATTAATTATAAATATTATTATGAATATTAAGTCAATTTTCTAAATATTACAATTCATTTAAGCTAAGATAGCATATTAAAAGTGACAAGCCATTATATACCCTCTATTATAGAGCTTATAATTATAAAACTAATAGATATGTAATTTTACATAGCTTTTGAAATGTGATTGAAAAAATTCTATGTTCAACTTTTTATACATTTACTTATTAATTTTAATGAATCGTAGTCATTTGCTCCTTATGCTTAAATTTATATTTCAGTTATGGCATCTTTATATGTTTCAATGGATTATTTCGTACCACATTCATGTATATGAATCTATATGAACTATAATGTAATTGACGTTCGAGTTGAGTTGGTAATTGCATACGAATGAGTTCACATTAACCGCTTTAATTGCAATCAATATTTGTCAATATTCGAGAATTATGTCATTACCATCAATAACAAATACATATTTCAATGCACTCTACTCCCCAGAACAAGTTCATTACATGGTGCTCACAACTGCTCTCAAGCAATAATCAAGTGTCTTTATTTTCTCGAATATGGAACAAAACATGTACACACAATTCGTAAGTATTTATATAAAAGTATTTATTGTATAGGAAAATATTTCATATTATCATTATTGGTTAATTTAATAATATTTTTAATGTCAACTACAATCAACAAGGCAAACATTTTGTAATAAAAATCAAAAACTGCGCTAAATACATTGCAAACAGTAGGAATTTCCCTTTGATTTTCATTTAAAACCATTTCTGTATAAACTTATTACATTAATCAATAAATTATTAGGTTTATAAGACGTTGATAAATGTATGCAGAATAAATGTATGCAGTACCAACAAAGAAGATATGCCATATTTTTCTTAAAATATCAAATTTTTTTTGTATTTAAACCCTATAACGTTTATATCAGGTTTACAGATTTATATATGAAAATTACCCACTTCCTTAGATAAAAACTGAACTGTGTTTATATTGTTTAATTCGGCTTGACTATCCATATTGAGACAAGTTATAACTTTCTGAGATTGTTAGGGGACTATATTTAAAACGTGATTCAAAAATGTATATATAATAATTCACCACTCTCTTACATATAAATTGGATTAATTTATATAGTTTATTTCGGTTTAACTATCAACCTTTAGATATATATTAAAATTTTCTAAATTTAATAATTTGTGCCTGGAAAACCCTACATTGACTTGAATTTTGAAAAAATTGTTGTAGTTTGCGTTTTATAAAGTAAAGCAGATACTGCATTCCTCTCCACTTATCATCGTTAATCACTCTTTTTGTAAAATATGTCATATAAATTTAGAAATACTCTGGAGTATATAAGATGTAATCTACATTTTTAAGGAAAACGCAGAATTTTTGTGAATAGAAATAGACCAATAGAATTTCTTAAGAAATGTGTCCTTCAACCTAAATGTCTGGGAATTAGGAGCTTTCTGACTAATGAGGTCAAGCTTTAGCAAATGCAACATGATATCTTGTCATCGGTGAAGTTGTGGTCATAGCGTTACTAACCATAAGCAACAAAAAATCTAAATCATTGTAGAAAAAAAACTTGTTTTGAAGGTCTCGGGTCTTTAAAATTATATCAAATCATTTCTCAATTATAGACTGTAAACTACAAATAAATTTGGTATAATAAGGAATAATAATAGGTCAGTTAAAGACAAATATCCTAACAAGACAGCGCAATCCCTTTTCTATTGTTCTTAAATATATGAAGAAGAAGTATGAAGAATAAGAAGAATTGTCACATATTTATATTGATTTGCTCCCAACGAACAGGTTTAATCTCATATTTCATGGTTTTCATATTTTCTTTTAAACACAGAAAAAAATCAAATTTAGAGCTCGAGGAAAAGTATGAGGCTTAACAGGAGTATTAAACATGCAATCCTTCTTATTTTCACATAAAAATAAATAGAAGTCGGTAAAATGATATTTTAATACAATTTCTCTTTAAAAGCTTACAGCTAATAACTTTTCGCTGCTAATAACTTAATGAGTCTAAATTTATATCTTAAAGCCCTAATGGCTTTATAATTTTATTTACACACACCTTCCAAGTGCAATTTAAATAAAATTGAAGTAAAAAATTTAAACGACAGCAAACAATTTTCGAGCTTAAAAAGGTGCGTTCTGTTTACTGAAATTCAAGCCGCCGCATTGATTTGGGGCAGGCAGCAGTGAAACCCAAGACGACAGCACAAAAGGACATTAAATATATGCCGAAATTGGCACGGCAGTGAGGAACGCCCACAATATTTTGAAGGAAATGTGAATAAGTTCAGCCAAAGTGGCAAATTGTAGTTGTCATTTTGACGTCTGTCAGAGTGTCGGCTTTTAATTGGGCTGCTATACTTTCCCTTCCTGCTAATTACCGACGTGGATGTGGTGCCCAAACTGCGGTGAAAGAGGAAATATTTTTCTGTTGCTTTACAAATTTCAGATACTACGTGTTTTTCCGCACTCTTGGGTCAAAATATAACATAGAAACAAAGCTAAAGCTAGAACTCAAAACTTGCAGTTGAAATATGAACACACTTCGTATTCACAGATACGGTGAAGTCAACACCGTATCTGGGCTTGCTGGGCTTGCAGGGCTTGCATTAGCGCAGCGTGGTTAGTTCAAACAGGACAAACAATTTTGAAAAGTGGGTTTGGCATGAAACATACGTTAAATAGCATTTGTATCTGCAACTGTAAAACTGAAACGAATTAAATAAGAAAACAAAAAAATAAAAAAATAAAAAAAATAAATAAATTAAATAAAATGACAGCGTAAAAAATGTGGAATAAATTGGCGGAAATTAAATTTGGGAATTAGCGCGACAGAAGTGTCGGATGACATGTTATGCCCAACCGTGGTCGAGCTGGTAATTAAATTAGTACATACATTGTTCCGTAATTGTAAAAAATGTATTTTAAAGCGCTAATAAATAATTTAAAAGGATATGTGCTCAAAATTACAGCTAAAGCTAATTAAGTGCATTGCGTTAAGTGACAACAATATGAATGCATACTAATTGGCGTTACTCATACGGCATGTGGTCCCAATGTTAAAGTAACACCAGTCACTTTAAAATAAATAATTTAAGTATTTTCTCTAAGAAATAATAAGTTAATTAAAATTATACTCTAAATAAAACTTAAAAATATACTTTTTGTTATTTTTACGTTTCGTTTTTCAGTTATTTTCAATTAACTTTCGAAATCACGACATGCAGTAAGTAAGTAACTCCAACTTATTACAATGGGTTTTCTATTATCCTTTACTTCATAAATAAGTCAATTGTTATAAAATATTAAATCGTAGCTGATTTATGAGAAATTTCGATTATATTTTTATATAACAAATGCTTCAATAGAAATTTCATAAATTATTGAAAACTCTGCCAATCACGCCCCCATGCTAGATTAGGTCAATAATGCTTTTACACGAGTATCTTATAAAGGATGTAAAATATTTGCACACTTTTTATATTTTTTGATGACAAATAAATTAGTTAAGATCGCGATATTATAGAATGACGTCATTGTACATATTGTACATATTGAAGAAACCAAAAACGGGATGACAAATTCACAAGAAAATTTAAGTCAACAACGTATTGAGAACGTTTCCATATTTTTTAAAATATTTTCACTATTTCTTAAGAATCAAAAAATTGTAAATTATTATTTAAATACAAATAGTACATGCTTAGATTTCTCAACTGCGTTCTTAATCAGGTCCATGCTTTTGGGTGCGAAAGAAGAGATTCTTCTTTGAAGCACTTTTGTCATTCTGTCCATATAG